GAAACCATTACCTGAGGAGGAGAGGAGGTGGGAGCAAAGGAGATGGAGGCACGGAGAGGTGGCAGAGGCATGAGGAGGAAAGGAAGAGGTGTGAGAGTGAAGAAGGGAGAGTGGACGCTTTGTATGACGGCCAGTGGAGGATGACAAAGAACTGCAAAGAGAGAAAGGGGAGAAAAACAATCAGAGTGCACTAGGAGGAAGCTGAGGAGGAGGAGGAGGACGCAGGTGGGAGAGAGGGAGCAGGTTGAGTGAACCTGCATGTTTATTAGTGTTCAGAATGTACTGTGCTGTAGATTTGTCTGTAAATGTCATCCATGGCACTTGAGTAACAATGGTGGATTCTCACACACGTCTGTAACATGCACACACATAGATGTATTTATAAAGAGACAAATTATAAGACAGGAGCTGCCATCTGTCCACACAGCACTAATTATCTCTGATGTAACCATGTTATCACAAAAAAGAACTCGTCTCCTAGTTCATTTCATCTCCTCTGTCTCTTTATACCCTAAGTTTTCTTTAATGTATTCTTATCTTTTTATTTGGTACACTAACACATAATGGTGCCTAACTGTTGAGTGGAAGGAAATGGTTTTCAAATATTTTTCATAAAGGCCAAACAGTCTTTGGTTTCATTTCTCCAGAGAATCTTCTTCCACACTCCTGTGATGTGGGACAAAATGTAAATGGAACTTCTTGTTTTTGTACAACAGTTTTCTGGTGACACTTTCCCACAAGAGCCAGAATAGTGGACAGCACCATTCTTCAATCAGAGCTGTGCATCGCCATGTGGAGAGAGAGTTATCAATAATTAGAAAACATTAATAGTTTCCAAACACCTCAGTGCTGTCAGTTAGGTGCAGCTGCTTGTGGGAGAGACTTTTTTTTTCTTTCTTTATTGACCCTTAACGTGTAAAGGTTACTTTCCTTACTGTGCATTTTAGTAAAATCAGCATTGACAATTTTGCAGATATATTGTAGAATATATTTAGGCTACAGATCATATATATGTAAAACTAGGTGCAATATTCCTGATTGCAATGGACTTCATTACAGTTTATGATTGGAAAGAAAAGCTTAAATTCATACATATATATATACATTTCACATTAAGTAGGTTTATGATACAACATCCCTCAATAAAAACACTCTCACACAAATGTGAGAGGTTTAAGTTATGGTAAAAGATTCGGAAGACACTGAGTGAAAATGTATTTACCTTAACCAGATTTCTAAAATATACATATATATAAATTCTTATTGTGTTTTAGATGCATGCCAGAGGAAGTGACAGACCATCCAGTGAAGAAAGGAGGACGGTGCGAGCTGATTGTCCCATTGTCAGCTACAGCGTGGGAAACGCATCACCTAGTTCTGTTTCTGTGGTTGTCCTGTCGTTTGTAGGAGATAGTAGCTCCTAAAACCAAAAGCTTTAGCATCCAGTTGAATGTTTTTTTTCTTTTGGTTTAGTTTCTTATCTGGCCGAGCAGAGTCCGTTTCCTGAGCCTGTCAAATAATGGGCAGCGAAGGGAGGACAGATCCTGTTAGTAAATCAGCCCACTGGGGCGCTGCTGTCAGGGGACTCTGTTTACTTTGTTTTACTACCACTGTCTTATCCTGTTGACAGGGCAGGGCAGTGGTGTGTGTCGCTGATGTAACAGTGGAGTCAAATAAAAGCACATGAACACATATCAGGCCTTCATCCTGTTCAGCCAGGTGCCAGTGTTCAAGGGGGCACAAAAGGAGATTCACATCACCTCCCATGTTTGACGCCTCACCCTCTCTCTATCAGCTTAAGAGGAAGCAGAAGGTCAGCGTGTTCGAGGTGACAGGAAGCGTCTGGGTTAAAACACAAGTGTTCTCAGTCGAACAGTTCATGATGAACTTCTAATCATAAGAAAGCAAATTTACAAATTACACGCAGCTGTGATGTGAGGATGCTTAATATGTCCACACCTACGGTGTATGCAAATGATGCTCAGGGTCAAATAAAAAACACTTGTGATGTTCTTGGGTGAAATACAGAACAGAGCTCATTTCTTAGCTTTTTTTTCTTCCTCAGAGAAAAGGCTGGAGAGGTGAAAAAATGATGACTCAAACTTATTTTCAAATAAGAGTGTGTCATTTGGAGTTTCATTGTATTGTATATAGATAACACTTAAGGTTAAAACAATGAATAGAAGATATGAGCCTTAGTAATGGACAGTTTATAAAATACAAAATGAATATGCACTTTTATTATTTTATGTTTTAGATCTTTTAAATGCATAAGCAAAAAATATGAAATGAATTGGCTGCAACAACAAAAAGCTGGTATATATACAGGGGGGGGGGCTAGATTGGGGGCCAGGGGTGTCATGGCCACCCTTACCCAATCATTGGCCACCCCTGTGGCCACCCCTATGATTTTATCCCTATAATACAGATGGTAGCAACAGTAATACTCTAAAGTGGAATGCTCTAAATTATTTAAATTTAATTTTCTATATGTAAACAATTACCTGACAACAAAAACCCTGTGGTTAATTATGCACATCAATATACTAATATTAAAGATAAATACAGAATTAATGCTCTTTTCAGAACTAGATTTAGTCTTTTATGGGGTAAAGAGAAAATTATGTCTCTGCAAGTCATCTAGGAATCTTCACTGAAATCAGGGATAAATAACTACTTTAATAATAAGTAATCAATTTATTGCAGATATTAGTACATGTAAACATTAATTTTATGCTGAATGATTCTTAATAAAATTCGGTTAGTAATGACAATGAATAAGATGTTCGCCCCAGAACTCAAAACTAAAAGAATTTTGTCCACTACACCTTTAATTTAGACAGCATGGATTTTTAAATATATGCTTCTATTTCTTAGAAAAGGCTGTAGAAAAGTATAGTTTGTTTTTATTTAGAAAATATGGATGTTGTGATTGTTCATTTTCCTTTTGGAACAGTGTAGATTGACCCTGAGGTTTTGGCACCTATCCACTTTTGGCCACCCCTCAGTGTACATTGGTTATTGCCTGGCCACCCTTATTAAAATTTTCTGGCTACGCCTCTGTATATATACATTTAAATTATACAGGCTTTGCACAGGCTGGCACTTTTAAATAAACATAAAAAAATGGCTCTCTGACCCACGCCACATAGTCTAGGGCGGGATGGGTGGTTCCTCCATCTCAAGCTCTGCTCCATTAACAGAGGCCTGTGAGCTTCAGGGTTTTTCTCAATACCTTACCTGTCCCTAGAACTGTGCATTTCTGGACTGATGTGGGGTTAGCGGCCCAGTGCTCCAATGATCATGACACTACTGTTGCACAACAATTTAGTCTGTTTGTATCTAGAAGTCCCACAGAGTCTTGGCTCTGTCACTGTCTGCCACCTTGAGAGGTGTCTCCCACTTCAACCTGGGGGTCTCCAGTTTGTATTCTGCACAGATGTTTCTGTAGACTATGTAAACAAGCCTGCTGGAGCTCCTTATCTAACATTTTGATTGTGAGCAGCACTTTGAGGCAATCGCTGTTTTCTGTATTCTGGAAAAGTTCAGTAAGATCTATTGATAGGTATGTTGGTCCACTGTTCATGAGCAAGGTACCTTAATTTGTTCAGTGATTATTTTTTTAAAAATAAATAAAAATAGATATTTTATTTTACCAAATTATCATTTAGTCATTTTGTTATGTATTTTTTTTTTCATTTTTGTGTTATTTAAATTATTAGTATGAATTGTTGTCACAATTACTTGTGTCGTTGAAAAAAGTAATTTTTCCTAGGAAATCACAGAGCATTGCAAATATAAACTGGGTAAACAATCAAGGAACAATATTGAGTTTCTAAGAGCAACCTGATTTACATTTATTAAATTAAAAGGTGTGGGTGGCAGTATAAAAATAAGATGCTGCATTAAAAGGTCAATAGATGGTAGGTGATTTTTATACATTGATGAAAGTTCAGTGTGAAAGTTTAATCCATACAGCTGAAAGGATACAAGGCGCTGATGTTTATTATTTGATTTACCAATATTTATCAGACATTAAAAAAAAAGTTTTTAAAATGAAAGATAATATTTGGTAAAAAAAAAAAAAAAGAGAGAGAGACTGTTTACAGACATAATTATTGGGAGATTTCTGCAAAATTCCATGGGTACTGTATTTTCTTAAGTAGGTTTTAATGTATATTTTCTTGGTATATTCTATTTGCCTTTTTAATCTGCAGCGGATAAACTGTCAAAGGTCATGTGGTGCATCTTATTAAATAAAAATGTGATGTGTTATGCTGGTCTGCAGTACATTGCAGGGCAGAAGCAAAACTTTGCAAAACACCCCAGCTTCATAGAGCATTGCTGAGCATCACCACATGAAGCATTTGTGTTAATTGTTTCAAACAATACATGTTATTTATTTATTTGTAGCTAATCTAATAAAAGCAGTCGTTCCAACTGCTAAATAAAAAAGAATGAAGAGATTAAAAATGGGCCATCTGAAAACAAAGGTCGGTGGAAGTAAAGTTGGTGGCGGGGACTTTTGCTTAGGGCCTTATCCAGGCTTTATCGGAGGCAAACATAAAGCTTATAAAAAAATAAAACTTTTTTAGTGGAAAGGAAGTGATTTTGTAACTTTAAAAGTTGGCAGCGAATTCCCTTTGAAACGTTCTGATTTCAGTATTAATCACCAACTGATGCTTTCATGTAATCTAACAAGTGTAATTATGCTGATATGAAAAGGTTTAATTATCTCTGACTGACGCAGAAGAACACAGCGAACCGGCCTGCTCTCGCGCCTCTCTGTTCGCAGCGTTCGGATGTGATGTCAGCACGGCGGAGAGCTGAAGCCTGTCTCCCTGGCAACGCAGCGTGCGGCAGTGACGCCAGCGCGGGCCCCCCGGCTCGTGGTGAGTAGGCGTGACTCGCGAGTTTAGCCCCCTCCCTCTTGTCTCTTCGTCAGTGAGGGCGGGGCTCCAGCCAAGAGAGAGCGAGCGAAACACGACACCCCCGAGGAACCGAGCGAGGCGCGCGCGCGCCTGGGGGGGTAGGGGGAGGAGGAGAGCAGCGCTGTGAGTGGAGCTCTAAAAAGTCTGCGAAGAAACACAGGTTTGCTTTCTAACCTTCGTTTCTGACACACAAGTAGCAGAGCTTTGAAGGCGGACCGAGCGAAAGATGCGACCGGGACGGAGTAAGCAGCTCCCGGACAGTTAACCAAACTCCTTCCAGAGGAGGAGCGGACGGTTTATCGGCTGCCTTGAATCGGGACGGTTGGTTGTTTCGCCCAAAGCGAGTTGAGCGGATTCAAACGCTCCCTGCCGAGCCAGCAGCGACTCATTTTGGGGGCTTTTCAGTTTTCTGAGACCGGACGGTGAAAGTGCGGAGGGAGGGGGGGAGTCTCTGCTCACAGAGCCCCTTCAGCTCCCTGAAGGAAAGAAAAGAAAAAGTTTTCGGTGCGTCTTAATCAAGTTTTCCAGCCTGGGAACCGGAGTGGGAAGAAAAGAAGAGAGAGAGAGACTGACTTCTCCTTCCACCAGCAACTTTGTGGAGTTCCTCCAGTTTAAGCTTTCCTATCCAGGCAGAATGAAAACACCTGGAGATACTGGTGAGTTGGCTATGATTGTTCACCATTGTCTCTGTTGTTTACTCACTCAGCAGGACTGCCAGTGTCTGATAACTAACTTCCATCGATGATTTAGAAAAACAAAGAGAGCCTGTTGATTTGTGCTGCTCTCACATGTGCTGCTGCAGCTTTCTCAGGATTTAGTTCAGTTTGGTGCAGGTTTGGTACTGTACTCTGGTCTGAGAGGAAGTGGTTTCACTACTGTACACTTTTTCTCTTCTTTTTTTTTTATCCAAATGCTACCGTGTCGCCGTGACAACCTTGTTTCTCCTTCCGCAAGATTTCAGATAATTAGCAGAAAACAGATCCTAGAAGCACTCAGGTGAACATATCCAGGAATGTAGAGGAATAAACCGAGCTGGCATTTATTTATTTTATTGTTAGCCTGTCAGTTTGCTGAGGTTAGGGGTGGGTGGGTGGATGGGGGGGATTCCCAGCAGTCAGCTGAGGTCTATGTGTGTGTTTGTAATTCCCGAAATGCTTTCATAAGTTTTTTTTTTTTCTTTTTCTTGCTTCTCTCTATCTTTAAGTTGGTGTACATTTTCTCCAGAAATAAGGAAGTGGAAGTACCGTCATGTGTTTCTTCTATGAAGTTTTGCTCTTTCTTTGATCATTGTCAGCTACTTTTAACTTCCAGAAGTCTTTAAGTATATTTTAATACAATTTTCATAAGTGCTGCTAGTAGAAACAAAGAGGAGAGATGAAAAAGGATTGGAATAAATAAAGTTGCTCTATTGTTTTTTTTTTTGTTTTTTTCCCCCCAGTGATTGCAATAGTTAGGGCTTATAAACTTTATTGATTTCTAATAAAAGCTTGCAGTATTCCAAGAATTGAATTTAATACCAGGATTGTTTACTTTGTTTCCAAAACACTTGATCCTTTCTACATTTTATGAGGTCATTAAAGGAACTTTGAGTTTCTATACTCTGACTTTCCTATTGTTTTTAGTGACTGGATTAGTTAGGGACCACTTAATAACTTCTAATAATAATGGTTAAAAGGCTTTTTTTGAAAAATAGAAGTATAATCTAAAAAAGAAATCAGTTAAATGATACCCATGTCTTTTATTTATGTATATATATTTATATATATATATATATATATATATATATATATATATATATGTGTGTGTATATGTATGACGTTTATTCTAATGTCTGTCTTGTGCAAAGACTTGAAATCTGTAGCAAATATTTATATATTTCCTACAGTCGTTTTTATACCTTTTATGAGGATTGCAGAACTGATCGTTATCTGAATGCACTACATCTTTTTATTTGGATTATAAAAATATATTTTTTACTGATTTAACCTTTTGGATTGTCCAGAATTTTATATATATATCAACATTTAAAGGTGACTTTCATAGTTAAAAATCATCAACAGAAATTATTTTGTAATGAATAATAAAATTGTTCTGCTTCAGTTGTTTACAAAATAAACATTAAATAACGTTATGAAATTGTGGAAGTCCGATTCAAATTTTAAAAAATGCCTTATTATCCTAAAGGGAAATGAAATATCTCCAAATTGAAATGTTAAACTTTTTAAATAAGTTAGAGGAAAAGCTTTAGTAGGGTAACCTTCTTCCAACCAGCCTAAATATAAAATTTCAGCAACGGGTGAGGGAGGGGTAATTCTGCCTTTAATGCTTTATTTTTCCTTAATTTCTCTCCAGTCTTATTGAAAGGGCAAAACTTTGGGAATAAGGTGCCTAAATGGTTAAAAAAAGTTGGTTTATTCCATGCCGATAACCGCTCCTGTCTTTGTCTAATTATTCCAAAATAGTTTTTCCTGTAGGAAATTATTGCCATTTCTTTTTGTACTTCCTAGGAAGCATTTCTTGCATGATCACATGCATGTTTGACTGACAATCTGTGTAGGACCCTTTCCTCCTGGGACAGCCCCCCTTTCCCTGCCTCCTCTTGACTCCCTCTGCACCCAGCCTAAGCCCTTCAGCCCTCAACATTCCAGCGTACACACACCCACACTCACCCACATTCATCCACTTCAGTGGCCCAGAGGAGACTGCCGTGACATCCCACCAGCACTGCTAACTGCTTAACAACAATAAACTCTGTGTGTTGTGTGGCAGCATATAGCCAAAGGCCCTAAACTTGTTTGTTTTTAGGGTTTGAAGTATGTTATTGATTTGTTTTTTCTGTTCTCCTGCTGTTCATGGGGTCGTTTAACATTCAACCTCACATATTTGAGCCTTATTTATTGTTTTATTAAGCCTATTTATATTTGTTTCAAGAAGATAAGTGTATTTTTATAGCATCAATGCAGAACACAATCTCATCTCAAATAGCATTTTAGAAATAAAACCGTTCCAGTGCATATCTGCTTATAAAGTAATGTGGTTTTAAATGTTTCCACTTCAGACTGAGATTCACTGATTCAATCACATGCTGTTCTGTTTTAATGCATGTTTGAATAGGATACAGTTGAGATCAGTGAAAATGCAATTGGTAAAAGGTTATATATCTTAGGCAGCTTTATGTGTAGAAGCACTAAACCTGCGTGCTAAAATAAAATAAAGAAACTCTTTAGCTGGCAAATCTATAGCAATTTATAATTGTAAATTAAATGTTCAATCTAATAAGGTTTTAGAACAACTACAATTATTTAATGGAATTCATGAATATAATAGAAGTTATAAAAAGCTCCTAAATTGGAATTACTTGGTTACACTGAAATATAATAAAGATAAAAAAAAAAAAAAAACAGCATTTCATGCTCCAAGTTACATAGAAACTGTGTTTTATTTTTAGTACTATTTGGCGAACATAGTCTGGCTAAAAATCTGACCTCTGCAGTGCCTTTTAACTCTGGGTTATTAAAGCTGTTGATCTGCAAGGTTTTTCCCGCTTCTATCAGATCTCCTGCTGTTTCCACATACGCAGTCCCTGCTCTGTCCCAATCCCACCTTTATGTATCATTTTGATTAAACAGAGTTGCAGGATGTGGATGAATAGTGTGCAAGATAAAAAAAAATGTAATCATTACTTCCTCTGTGGGGATGTTAGATGTGGGATTATGTCCTGTATGATAATCTGCTCACTCTGTAGAGTTTAACTTCCTTTCTGTTAAACGCTATACTTCCTTTTAACATGTTTTTTATCTTTCTTTTTTTTTGAATTAGCCTAAACAGATAAAGGGATTTCTGGTTAGATGTGGTGAAAACAGAGACAAACCGGTTTTATTTACATCTGCTCTCGGCTATGGCAGTAGGTTCTGGGTTTACAGCACAGGTAAATATCCAAATCAGTTTTTTTTTTTTATCTGATCACTTCTGGTGATTAGATATTGTTAGTGATTGCAGTGAGTTTGAGAGGTGCTTTCATCTGTACTCACAGTCGTGCCTCCAGCTCTGTGTGTGCCTGAAAGCCATTGCTAATGATTGATTAAACTGGGGTGATAAAGGTTTGGAGAAACCCAATTAAAACTCTTATCAGCAACCCACAACAAACAGAGCAGTTTTGCAACTCCATTTTTCTCCATCAGACTTACTGGTTACACTTATGTCTTTGCCGCCTCCATCAGTCACCCCCCCTTTTCCCTCCTCTGACGGGATGAGGACCACTGCGTGTCTTTGTGTGATGGAATCGTACGGTGGGACCCCTGGCTCTAGAGTCGGCCATTGTGTGGGTGTGTGTGGAGTGTGGGACAATGGTGGGAGTGGGGCAGGGCCTGGGACTGATTGTGTGTGGACTTGTGGGGCCAGGGACCTCTCATTGTAGTAATAATGGTGCAGAGTAGCTCATAGTTTGATGGTGCTTTTGACACATGAAGAGACTCCTCTTCTGCATTTGTGTTGAGAGAGAGAGAGTGTGGAGGAAAAAAAGGGAGCAGATTTGAAAAAAAACTTTCTTTTAATGATTTCTGTTGTTCTCTTTTCGCTGCTTCCTAAAAGCTGATGTACCTCAGAGATGTGCTGCCATTTATTTTTAGAAACACACTCACAGAAAGTGCAGCAGACAAAAGTAAAATATCCCATGTTTTCCTGCTATGGGTTTCCATGCGCGATTGCAAGCATATGGGTTTCAATCTCAGCAGCGGCTGTGATGATAAGCGCAGTGATTAGCTTTATCTGGGAAAACTCCCTTGCAGCGCTGACCACAGCAGAAGCCTGCATTTCTTCCTGTCCCAGATGAGTTTTACAACCAGGTTTGTGTTACAGGTTTATATGTCCTGCTGCGATCAGGCTCAGCCAAAACGCCTAAAAGCTTGAAACCGATAGCGTACCGCAGCAGAACTGGTCGTGCTCCAAAGACTGTTTGAGCAAACCGGCTGTTGAGACAGTTTGGCTGAGAAATATGTGGATGAATGTTAAGGAAGCCCCTTGTGTTGTTTTTGCACACACCAAAGAGAGTTGTTGAGATATTTATCCTGTTTTAGTCTGAGTTTATTTATTCAGGCCCTCAGATGAACGCACTTGGCCAGATTTAGGCATCTGTTGTTGTAAAACTGATTATTTTTCTGTAATTATACCTAAAGTCAGCATGGACCAGTTGTCAGTAAGATTTAAACGCATTTTGAAAGCTTTGAAAAAGCATTAAATGTCCTATCTCACTATTCCTACTATTGGCTTAATGGTCTTAAAGGGCTTTTTTTATTGAGATGCAATAAAAAGTACTGGAGTAACCAGAGATGTCCCATGCTGTATGAAGTCGGTATAGGCTGGTCACAGGCCCCCTAATAGAAAGCATCATTACCTCATCAGCTACTTCCAGCATATTTTATTTATTACTCCGTAAAAAGCAGGAGGAAGCACTGGAAAATTATCAAATCCACATATTTACCATTTACATTTCATTAGTTAATTGTTTACATTGTTATATAAAAATTACTTCATCATTAGGGAGACACTAGATCATTAGTCTAAATGACTAACTGATGATTGGCTGCTTAAATACTGGAAAATCAGATTTTTCTTTCTTTTTTTATTTCAAAGTCATAGGGAAATCATATTTAAATGT